ATATATATATATATATATATATATATGCGTGTGTGTGTGTAATGGTTCAGATACTGCGTCACTCTATTTATATGTAGCAAAAATGAAATCAATTCATATCTGCTTGATTAATTGCAATGACAATCGTAAACTGGTTATTAAACTTAAGACGAAATCAACTAATATTTTTGATTTCATTCGTTACCTTATTCATCTCTATCTATGATGTCGTAATTTTCTATTTTGTAGGCATATATGCTGACCACATTCCATGAAAAATTCTCAAATTTAACTAGTTTTAAGGTAATGTTAAGCCATAGAGAGTGCAAGAGGAGGGAGGAAGCGATGTAGGGTGATCGGAAGTGGGAATGTGAAATCATTCACAGAGAGTATATACAGTGCTGATTGGTCAATAAATATACTTTTGCGTAAATGTGATTTCATGATATCAGCTTATTGCAATATTCCAATAATAAGAGCCCTAGGGAACATATTGGGAAATCATTCCCTCCATTCAGGCTTTTAAACCCTCGCGAGTCTTAACATATGTTTGGTATTAAAATTACTCTAGGTGAAATATTTCATTGGAAAAATATTAATAACTACAAACCACAAATCTCAGCAACTTAAATAAAATGCATTTTTTGGTAAAAATACGTCAAAACGAACTAAAATGTAATGAGAGCTGTCGCCCCAGTTAATGTATAATTACAGGTATTGTTCACCTGCGCAATTTAACAACTTATTTCTTTATGCTAATAATAATTTTCAAGTTATCAAGAGTATATATATATATATATATTTGCATACGTTTTCATATCAATGACAATTTGCTCATACATTCTTTGAAGGTTCAATTTTGCGAGGCGAGGGGAAAGTTGGATTAGTAATTGCCGTACAAACAAAAGGATGCCAGGTACCGACAGAGACCACATGAGGTACTTTTTTCTTCATTTTGGGTGGTTTTCAATCAAAAAAATTGACTCCAAGCTTTATCTATTTTACTGCATAAATATTCATTTTCCTTCATTTAATTGGTAACAGCTAACACGACAAATAGCTGAATTCATTAACAAAGGTAGATGGGAACGATCTGTTATGCAACCTAGGCGTAGAAAGAAAATTAGATTAGTTAAAGCAGTACAATTTACTACAATCAACTTTATTTATTGTTTTAGATTTTGATTTGCAACAGAATTTAGGAGTTTTGCTAAAAATGTAATCACTTTAATACTGCTAACTATGTATCCTCCATCTTTAAAACAGAACGTAGTTTGTAAAAACTTGAAGTGTGACTATCATCTTATAGGCATAAACAATACACACCTTCTTAGGATATCAAATCTAATTTTTTTTCACATCACATTAAGTGCGATTTGAATGTTTCTACCTTGAGAAATGCAGATGTTCAAAATATTTCAGATAACTCCAAAATACTAAAGTATGATCATTTTCTTCATATGACTATAATGTCCCACTCAAGCGGAACAAGAAAATCTACTTAGATAATGTCATATTTATGGCCGAGGTTTTAAAAAAGAAGATGTTACCTAAATGTTTCATAAAAATTAAAATTTTTTTTATTTTGCACTTAAGAAATCACATTTAAATGAGCTTTGGTTTTTAAATCAAGTATAATAGTGCAATTGAAGTGAAAAATAAGCATGATATACCATTTGCTAAGATCAGATCAAATAGATCACTTGATCAAGCCTTTAAAAGGTATATAATTTAAAAAAGAACCTATTGACATTCGAGCTAGCTTTACTTTACAGGTAGCAGCGATCAAATCACAATGACCTCTCAGCAAGATGAAAGTAAGCAGATAACCGTTCGCTTTAATTTTTTTGCTACTCTGAGGGACATAACACCGTTTAAAAATCGATAAAGCGTATAACCTTTTTTTACTGAATTCAATATACCGTGGTTTTTTGCATATATTTCATTCCATAGAATTTTATAAAGGCATTAAATTATCATCTTTCAATTATATCACTAGCCATCGTTCTTAAAATTGACGGTAAAGTATTGAAGATTTTTCGATTAACTTAGCATTAGCGCTAGTAATAAAACAATAACCTTTACATCAAACCATAGATTAAAACAATACTTTACAATTTTCTAGAGGATCCCAAATGTAACAAAAGCTATGTTGAAGAGATTGTCGACAGTATGTTTGAGTTGTTGTTTTATGGAAAAAATATCATGGACTATTTGGTTAAACTTGATCTTAATTTTAGCCAAGACAACTGTCACAACAACAAAGAGATTGTATGAGAAAAATACACCAAGACGTAAGATTTGCTAACTCACCTACACTCTAAAGAAATATTAAAATTTATGCTAAATAGTAATGTTATATAAAATTTTATAGAAACCCAATTAGCCATTGTTGTTATTGAAGAAGAAAAGCCACAATGTCAAGGTATTCATTTTTGGGTCTTTTAAAGTAAATTTGAAATAATAAGACTCAATATATTTATATTTATTTAACTTGTATTTATCTTCAAAGCACTTTGAACACAGAATCTTTATCTTTCTATTTCATATGTATTTATTTATTTATTTTAAGCTAATTTAGCACCAGAGCCCCAACGACAGATTGTGTGCCAGACAGTGTGTCGAGAAGTTACCAGTAATTGCAACTTTAATGAATATGTTATCAAAAAAATTTTAATTTCAGCTTTTTAGTTAAATACTGATACAATTTTTAGATCCTTGTCAGTCATACAATTCTGGTGCACCAATGTACATGCCTGTCGTAGGTAAATGGTGAAATATACGGCACAAGAAACTATGTTACATTCGACCATTCATTTGTGTAATCATTGCATTTTTAGACTACCAACCTTTCAATCAATTCCAAAGCCCTTTTGGAGGCGTCATGAGTAAGCCAAAGTTTAATTCAACATAGAATTAGTAAAAAATACCTTGATTTATTCAATAAGTTTGCTAAATGATTATCGAATTAGCTGTGCAATGAACAATGTTCAGATAAAAGGTGAAATTTCATTGCAAAGCCTGATTAAAAGTATTGGTTGGTAATAGCATAAATGAGAAAAATAATGCTCACTTTTCTTCATCAGTGTCTACTGATGTACATTCAGTAATAGAGATAGCAAATTGAACTGGAAAATCTGATAATTTCAATCCATTTGAATCCCAAAATAGTGGCTACAATAATCAACACGAACTTTCCGGCTTTGAGCCTGGCATGTCTAGATGTTCCCCATGGATGACGCGCCCTTGATTGAACTTCTTTTTTTGGTTCAAATTGGGTAATCCGAATTTTGTCTTCAATAACAAAGTTGCTAAAGATAGCTCAGCTCTTTCGATCAGTTCCTATTACTACAGCTTTTAAGGAACCACCGAGCCCACTGAGAGTTCAAGCCGCGCTAATCTTTGAGAATTGAAAATACTGATCCGTATGTGATTCCACATTTAATTATCAATTTCGTCAATTGTAAAACTTTCACCTTGTTTCTACACTAGATTCTGCACACGAGAGATATTTTCCTGAATTCCTGCTGTAATGGTTCTCTTTCCTCATTTTTCATCATCAAGTAGAACTCTTCCCTCATTAAAGCATCTAATCCAATCATAATAGACAGCTCTACAGGTCGTAGAATCACCATAAAGCTAGTGCAGAGCTTCCATGTTTTGAACAGGTTTCAAATTTATCTCAGTTCGAAAGGTTATCTTAACTCTGGTCTCGCAAATTGGCGATTCGAATTGTTAAAAATTGCAAACTATATGAGATACTGATCTGATACCTGTATGCTATTTTGGAAGCTCTGAAAACGTGATTGAGCTTGTAAAAACGTGTAAACCGTAATATTTTTTCAAGTTGTGGCATTTGTTGTATGAAAATTAAAATATATTTTTTTATTCCAGTGGATAGATCAGCTACTAACCCCTACCAAAATGTTCAAAGTACGTTATACATTAAATTTGCCCATTCGTTTGTGTAATCATTGAATTTTTAGACTACCAACCTTTCAATCAATTTCAAAACCCTTACGGAGGGGTTACGAGTAAGCAAAAGTTTAATTCAACATAGAATTAGTAAAAAATACCTTAATTTATTCAATAAGTTTGCTAAATGATTATCAATTGCCTATGGAACGAACAATGTTCAGATTAATGGTGAAATTTCATTGCAAAGCCTGATCAAAAGTATTGGTTGGTAATGGCATATATGAGAAAAATAATGCTCACTTTTCTTCATCAGTGTCTACTGATGTACATTCAGTAATAAAGATAGCAAATTGAACAGATTGGCTCAGATAATCACGAGGCTTTACAAACGATGTATATCCCAAAAGAGTGGTTTTGGGATATACTCCATCTGCCCTAATCAGTTAATCCCAATGATTATCTTAGGTGTGGGATTTATTACCCTTCAGACTCTCCATATTATCACTCATATTCAAGGTCCGGAGTATAAGTAATATATGGGAGTATTTCCCACGTAAATTCTTTCAATAGGACCCTGACAGCTTTTGAAGTAAATGCAGAGGCATTGTTGTGAAGAAACAATCTTGTTTCTACACTAGATTCAGCACACGAGAGATATTTTCTTGAATTCCTGCTGTAATGGTGCTCCCTTCTTATTTGTCATCATCAAGCAGAACTATTCTCTCATTAAAGCATCTAATCAAATTATAATGGACTGCTCTACAGGTCGTAGAATCACCATAAAGCTATTGCAGAGATTCCATGTTCTGAACAGGTTTCAAACTTATATCAGTTTGAAAGGTTATCTTAGCTCTGATCTCAAAAATTGGTAATTTGAATAGTTAAAAATTGCAATCTATATGAGATACTGATCTGGCACCTGTATGCTATTTTGAAAGCTCTGAAAACGTGATTGAGCTTGTAAAAACGTGTAAACCGTAATATTATTTAATGTTATGGCATTTGTCCTAGGTTCTTTTGACTCACACGCGTGGCATTAAGTTTTAAGACAATTAAAATGTATTTTTTTATTCCAGTGGAAAGACCAGCTACTAACTCCTACCAAAATGATCAAAGTATGTTATAGAGCTATAGAATTTTGCTAAATTAACACAAATTTTAATGAACGCTTTTTTTCATTAGTGTATGTTTGTGATAAACCCCGTTTTCAAGGCATCGTTAATTTATACTTTATTTCTTTAGAATTTGCCTATCAATTAGTAGTGTAATCATTATCATTTCTTCCATTTTTAAAGGAGGCCGCAAGAAAGTGAAGGAAGTCACCCTTGTCAACCTTGACGGTGAAACATCAGTCTCAGGTAAATTATTCTATTCTTAGTTTCGTTTCCTACAAATGGGATATCCTCCAAGAATTCCGTGATTTCATATCATTGAACAAGATTGTTGCAATTTGTCGCAACTTTTTCACTACATTCTTTTTCTCTTTAGATGACCCGCCATCATTCTTTAAATCTTCACCAACCTCTAATATGTCATCAACAAGTTCCGACACTTCTTCCTCTTCCTCCTCTTCTTGCACATCCTCGTCCTCCTCCTCCTCCTCGTCATCTTCTACTAGTTCTTCTAGCTTCCTCTCAACAGAGTCAAACAGAGGTAAGGCATTCCTTTAAAGTTGTTTCCATCTAACAGGACTACTGCAAAGGAGTAAAGGTTTATAGCAAACAATTGGATTTCCAATTGTGTGAATAACTAAACTGCCAAGTCAATGGCATTTCATATCAGCAACATAAATTCTAGTGGTGGTGGTGGTGGTGGGATGAGGGAGGAGAAGGTGATTGAATATTAAGGGAAAGTAGGACAAGAGGGAGAGTTGAAAAAGAACGAAAACGGGAGGATACGCTAAAATATACTTTTGCTTTACGTATATTTGAACTTGAGTTTTGAAACATGAGACAGTTTTTCCCCAAAATACTGCGAAGCAGAGAGCCTGCCATTTGGGGTGGTTGTACTCGATCTTCAAGGAATTCTAACATAAAATAAGTCAGCATGAAACGAAACAAATTAAATCATTACACTAACATAAAATTGAAACAGCATATAGAGGGTCACTCTTGACGCCTTATTCCAATGTATCACAAGGTCTTCATTACAGATTATTCGTTGAATTTAAAAAGTTGACAACCGCAATGAAGAGGTGTAGACTCCCACCTAGTTTTTGATATTCACATTTCAAATGAAAAACTGAAAATCTGTCGTCTGGGTGCTAGGGTGGGTTAATGATTGAGGAATAGTCTTATTTTAGGGCTCTGAATGAATTTACCAATGGAGTTATGCTTTAAACTAAAAACTCGAACATTGTATAAATTTTGAACTTGGGGTTATAAAATTAGTTTTTTTTAAATGTATAACAATACCTAAATTGTAGACAACGAATTCTTCACGCGTTCACCGGAACAGAAATTTGGAGGATGCCAAAAGAGTAAGTTTAATGGAATATGGCATTTTTTTAAATTGCTCAAATATACTCACACATATATTTCTAGAAAATAGTTTCTGTAGCGATGATTCCGTTATTCTGAAGAAGTTAAAGGTTAAGAAGTGTGCCGTTCCAAGTGAGTAACAACATGAACATGTTTCAAATAATATGCACTTTTAATGGTAACTTTAAATTTGTTTCAGATTACCTCAGGAACAATCCCGATACCACTTACCTCAAAAAAGTGAAAAAAGGGAGAACCTGCGGTAGAGTTAACTAAAATTAATTAAAGTTCAAGATCTATCAAGTAGTTTTGAAGGCATTTTTTTCCCATTTCAGGGCCAACGGAATACGTTGTTCTCTCCCAAAACTCAGACAACTGCCAACAGGTCAGTCACTGGAGTTGAATTAGAAAGTAAAAATAAAACACACATTGTATTCATGCATAATATCGTCCTCTTTGTATTTTAACTTGCAGAGAGTCAATAATTGCTGCTAAAGGTAATTCACCACTAC